CCCGAAGGCTTTCACCAACTGACGCTGTTTCGCCTCTCCGATTCCAGAGAGGAATAAGTTAATTTTTATTTTGCATAATTTCTTTGTGCTTTGAAGCTTGTTTAGCGATTGGATTGGTTTTCCGTTGTAGGGTTGCTAGCCCTATGCCCAACCTTCCCTCTTTACCCGGGCTTAGGACCTGCTGGTAACTAGTGAACTGGTTAACTAGGCGACCATGACAAGATAACATATTGAACGTACTACTTTTGCACACAGAGGTCAGGTTTGAAGTGATTAATTGCCAGTGCTGCTGCTGTGCACAACTGTCGAAGGCGTATTTGATTCGAACTATTCCATTTAAGTTGGTATTCATCATGAACTGACTGACATCGGTTGTAGGGAGGCGGAGGGCACTGGACATCTGTTTCATCCGAGTATAGGACTCTTCAGCAGTGCCCACCCATAACCCTTGCAAGGGTATCCACGAAACCCTGGCAGGGTCATGGTGCGCACTGCCAAAGAGTCCTATACTAGGACGAAACAGCTAACCAGAGCTGTCGAGTTTTCAGTGTTCCTCCAACTGATGTCAGTCCATGATGAGTACTGACTTGAAATCAATAAATCACCAAACCCCCCAAATTTAATTATTCCATTTTACTCTATAAATGAAACTGAAGGAGGACTCTAGTCGAGCTATGCTTCAAAAGTTGATCAAATGTTCAAGAAATGAACTGCTAACTGGTGTACATTCTATCCTTGACAAACATACAGGATAGTTCTCAGTGATGCGTTTGGAAAGTGTGCTCTTTGTGGGGCCTATATAACTAGCTCCACAGGAGCAAGTAAGTTTGTAGACATACACTGAGGTGACCCAAAGCGGTAACTTGTGCTTAACGCATCCCGGAACCACTTACTGAATGGAGAAGCTGACCTGTAGCTTCCTAGGGAAGAATATCTTCTCCAGTGATTTGGGCATTCGATTCCTCAGGATCTCTACTGCTGTACTACCTTTGAAACCAACGTTCATAAACAAGGTATTTGTTGAAGCTGTTAGTACACGCTCCGTATTCTGTTTTAATCTCAAGTTCTTCTCAATAAATCTGGATGGGTGTCCATTTTGCACGAGAATCTTCTTTAGTTTGTCCAATTCATCGTTGATAGTAACACTAGTGCAGACTGGTCGTGCTCAACGAGCCAACTGAAACTCATGGTTGAGGACTGTTATGCCTTCCTTTGTGGTGTCCGTTGTGTCTCATTTCAATATTTGTTATAATCATCTTCCTTTCCATCTTACGGCTATGAAGTTTTGTCATATGTTTCGCATTTGTTTGTTGTTCATCTTGCCGCCATTTTTTCGTGATGTGAGCTACTGCAATTTTGACCATGGTACAGTGATGCCGATTTCTATGTTGATACTGACTGACCAGCAATGTGAACCATTTCCTTAATTCCACTAAGGAGATGAAGAATGTTGTTAAAGCTTACTGATCGCCAGTTTACAGCATTCGAAGTCTGTTTATGAATGCGGAATCACACTAAGATATCATAGTGATCCCATAGCACCCCCTGACATCTCTGAAGATCTTCAGAAATCAGCTCTCCACTTCACCATATCATGAAGTGACGGAAGTAAGAAAATGTGGCCCATTGAATTTAAACTTAGTGACTGAATGATAATGTACTTACTAATAGATCTGACAATTTCGAGCTCAATTTACTACGTGGTCTTTCTTCACACTGCAGGTGTCTCACTTTATGGCAAAACAGCTCTTCAGTACTGTCAGATTTTCAATGGTTCTCCAACTGATTGCAGGCCTTGATTAAATCTACCTTGGAGCAGTTAATTTCTATAAATAGCTGTTTGGTTTATTTAGATGAAGACTATTTATGTTAAAACACTACCGATACAAAGGTTATCAAATCAGCTTGTTGATCAGATTCTGAATAAATTAAAGTCACATTATGAAATTAAAATCGTTACAACTTTATTTAAAAGAGAAATCGAATACCTTCTGAACTTGAACTTTTATCAATTAAATATCAGTTGCAGCAAGGTTGAATTATTGTGATCATTGACTAAATATAAAGTGTGATAGATCCTATAATTTGAAGATGCTGCATCATTGGAAATCCCAATTTAACGGAAACTTTCTCCTAAATAAAGGTTAACCAATCAACTTAGAACCTTGTACAGAAGTGCACGATTTCAAGTTACCACAATTTTCAACACCATAGAAAAAAGAAGTGATCAGAAAAGAACAATGCTGAAATCGATAAAAGTGTGCTCACTAAGAGAACGAATAAACAAAGTTAGAGTAAACTTGTTCAAAATATCGAAAACTATGGGGAAAATATCTGTCAGCTACTGCAATCGACTTAAGTCATGTTACCACGAGTCTTCAACCAATGATTTCTAACACACTGAGCTCCTAAACCAGGCAGTTACTATATTCTTACATAAAACAAACCGATATATATTGACCTCATGAATCAGTATCATTTCTTGTTCTGGCCATCTAAATGGTAACTACTGACTGACATAATAGAATGAATTTTATGCAGTAAATTTATAAGCCAATCGTTAAGATTTTCAACACTTCACCATGTCAGTGAGCGGAAAAACTTTATTGTTGATCACTGAAAGAACTATCTTTTTCTGCTTACACCATCACAAAACAGTTCCGAGTCTAATTATACTAGAGTAAGTTGGTCGACATAAACTTACGCTGAGATCGACTTCAGTCACAATGAAAATGAAATGAAAAGCAGTAAAGTTGATTGCCTATTGAAATACATGAAATGAAGATTACTAACCTATTATTCATATGTAAACGTAGGGAAGTTACTGTTGAATTACTATGCCAACAGAAAGTCTCATTCACTATTTGCTTTTGTCAAACAGCGTAACAGACTAACAGGTCTTTAAACATACTACAGACTGAATAATAAGTAAAGAAAAAAAAATCATATGATCATCACTGAATAGGTTTAATGTCACCCGGTAAGGATTGACATACTGGATGCAGAATTGTTTTGTGAACTGAAACCTGACTGATGATAGATAAAAAATTTATTGACTGGAACATTCTTGGTTTCGTTTCACATACTAAAGCATTGAAAAAAAACCCTTGTGTTTCAACGATGGCGGTTGAATTTGACTGAAGGTCTTTTTCTGAGTAGTGTTCTAACGGAAAGTCACTAGACTATTTATGAGGAGAGGTGAGTCATAACCTATTAGTATGTCCTACTGTTTCTTCAATTACAAGGCGATGTTCACAATCATCACGTGAATTAGCGATATAGTAACTTTGTGTTCTTCGCAATACCGATTATCCTAAGACTTCTTCTCATTAAACTCCAGATGAAGATGAATTACGGGGTAGAGGTGATTGACTGTAAGGCAGAAAATTCGGTAAACAAGACAAGGTAATGAGAGTTTGTTTACAGATAAATATCGTAACTTTGTAGATGGATTATAGAGCTATTATTGTGGCACCATTCAGTTTGAATTCTAAAGTTATTCAAATCGCTCATCATATCTAATGATTATTTTGGAATACATAATTCAATTTTCAAACGAAGACGCCCTTATAGTGTACGTCTACCAACCAGTCATTCGGCTGTTAAAGAAAATATGGCGAACAGCAAAACACACATGTTATATTGAACAATGTCAATATAGATGATTACTTTCAAACACTAAGGTTAAGAAGTATGACAATCCACAGCATATTTTCATCACATTGTTTCATTTTTTTTATACCATGAACCCTGTTTATCAATACTTTTGCACCAAGTCCCATGGCACATAAAGTCACCCGCTCTCATCAAGATATTGCAGTTGGAAGAACATTATCAGATGTAACTATACTAATGTCAGTATTTGAACGAAGAATATTCTTCTTAATAAACTCTTATCAGGTTTTACAACTGTAAACTGGATTTGTACAGGGTCTGCGGATACGAAAGCGGCTATCAGGTTCGTTCGGAAAGCATGAAATGAAAGTGGTGAAGAGTCCAGTCCTAGAGCACCTAGTAGATACAGTGCATCACAAAGATGCGAAATAAGCTCTCAAAGTTGTTCACTGTATTACTAAAACAGTCCCATTCAAAGAAATAAGAAGACAGGTACGAAAGAAGGCATATCTACTGTCAACAAGTGAGACAGTAGTCCTTAAATATGGTACACCTTGAACTAAAACCGTAATTTGCAAAATGTACTTCAATTCCTCTTCTGCTTCTTTCTTGATTTGCTCTTTGTACGCTTGCTTTGTCTCTTGCGTTTCCCTTGGTGGAGTCCTTACCCATTACTGGTAACTCCTTATGATTTTTGCCATCTTCTCAATGCATACTACTTATATCCATTCTTATCCGCGACGCCCACTACACTATATGTAGCTCACCAACCCCTGCTCGACATAGGGGAGGTTGGCGCAATAAGACTGATCAACCCGGAACTTTACATTCAGAAAGAAGATGTCCACATGTTATTTCTCCTTTGGACATCAGTAAACTAAAGTTCACGCCTGCTTTCTTTACTAGTTATCTTTTTATTCACTATCATATCATTCATGTGTACATATTTCATCTCAATATCGATAAATTTAGAAAAGAAAGATCGGTTTCCTTACAGAATCTAAATATCAAATCATTGTGAAAATGTATCTGCGTCTAACTTGGCTTGGTTTCACACTGTACAAACGCACTTTATAATCGTTGAATCTTATGAGAATTTATTGAAAATAATATTCTCCTTCCTGATTATTGCTGTTTATGAATGTTATGAGAAGATTTAATTATTTGAAATCTTAAAATTCTTCTGAATAACAGTATCACCAGTCTCAAGATCTTGCAGTGAAAATCAAAGTGATCCGGGTATTACGTAACCGTTACGTAAATTTTTGATCAAGGTCATTACTGACAGGAACGAATCAGTCTAGCTCAAAGAAGTGACTGGTCTAGTCCATCTTATTCTACTCAATTATTTTTCAATAGATAGATAGTAAGAGAAAAGACGATCTCATAATCATTGTCTTATATTTAAATCGTGACATTTATTCTGTTAAATTTCCTTTAAAAATAACTAAAAATCAAAATATGCGATTTAAGGCATTCATTTAAACAAATTCAATGAATTCATCTTAGTGTATATAATTTTGACCATAATTCAGCTAAGCATACAGTTGAATGAAATCGAAAAAAGATAATTAATGGAACAAAACAATAAGTGATAACAGACCATGTACGTACACCAAAATATTGTCTATATAATGACAGTTGTGTTTCAGCACTTCTTACTTCAAATGTATTCACAAGCCATAGAGCTAAATTACATATTAACAAAAATACAATCACTGAACGACCAGGTTTTATTCTTGCCTGATTAATACAACAAACTTTACGTCGTGATGTTTCAACAATAAAAAAGAATTGCAATAATGCTTGAAGTATTTCTAGTGTACATTTTGCCAAGTATAATAATGCTGTATGCTGAATATAATCATTGGTTACTTTAAAAGTATTTGTTCTATTAGTCAACACAGTTAAAGGTTTACGAGTGGTCTCATATTGAACTTGTTCAATGTCTGTATACTGTTTTAACTCATTTGTATTAAATAATAGAGTATGAATGACAGTCTCTAGTGCTGGGATAAATAAAAACATATGATATGTAATACAACCAATTAATCCAATTGTCAGTAAATTATATTCAAAACTTTCACCACGACCTAGTCGACGAAATTTTAACTTATTTGTCTGCAAGATAGCCATAACACAAGCCAAGAAACCAATGGAAGATAAAGCAATTTTCGATTTTTGATAAATATGTGCAGCAAACTTTTTTGAGCCATTACGTCCACGTAACAGAAATAATACCATGCATACAATACTGGCTATTAATAACATAATGCCTAAAAATAAACCTGAATGCGATCTATGACACTGATGACCTGTATCAACTTTGACCGGTTTTTGACGATTGGGTGTTTGTGGAGTGTCTTCAGTTAGTGGGGAATCTTCACAATCTATAAGTATATCATTGGCCAGTCAGCATTGAAATAGGCGTTTAGTTAAAATGGAAAGATTAAAGTGAAACAAATTAACAATAATCGGTAATATGAGACAAAATGTTTTAAATATATCACTCGACTTTTTGGTATTCATTATCCAAGAAACTGATCAGTATAGTATCAAATTGTCTCAAACCTTTCAGGTACAGACGATGTACGTTCCCTTGGGTACAACTTCATAACTTCTTATAATTAGTTCGAGTTATTTTCTTCTATGTACTAGAAAACTGTTTAATTTCTTAGCCTTTTTCTTTCTGAAGTTTAAGTATATCTCGATGTGAGAATGAACCATCATATCTACATGAAGTCTGACTAAATTAGGACTGATCATTTTTCAATAAATCGTTAAGTATAATAAATCTTAACATTATATTATCATTATTATTATATTATTTGTCCCTTGGGTTCCTAGTGGAACATACGGCTTCAGTAGCATGTCTCCATTACGCCCTGTTCTCTGTAATCTTTTTAACCTGGCTCCACGACTGCCCACAACCTCTTATTTCTTCTACATACGATCTTCTCTATGTCCCCCTCACCTCGCACGCCCAACTCGTCGTTTCCCCCCTGGGTTCCACTCGAGGACTTGGGCTGGAGCATGATGTCCCCGAATGATCTTCTCAGTGCATACCCAATCCATCTCCACTTCCACTTTCTTCTGCATATATGGTGAGCGATAGGTTATTGGTTGGTTCGTTGCCATATGAGAGTTCTTTGTTGCTTATTCTCTCTGGCCATCTGATCTGGTCTTCAGTATTGAGTGAGAGTAGATGGCAGTTATTGACATAATCTGTAGTTTGTTGGAAGTGCTTTTCGTAACGCATCAAATCTCTGAACCATGTAGAAGCACTGACTTGACATCGGTGTTGAAAATCCGGATCTTGTTCCATATGCTGACTTTGACGTCTTCGTCTGTGCCACCTGTAGTTGATACGATGCTGCCTAGATAGGTGAAAGAGGCTACTTCCTTTCCACAGGCTTTTGTTTAATTTAACCATATTTATGATTAAGTATGAAGTTAAATCAAATTGGCTGTTTTGACCGATAAGTTTTCAGTAATTTAGTCTTATATCCAAATAACTTCATTCGTTTTTGATAGAAAATGAGCTTTTGTAAATTAAATGAGCTTAATGATAGACTGACGCTTTATACCTTCTAAACTTGGAATTCAATATAAGTGATTTTTCATGTTTTGAACTTATCAATCAGTTGCGTAATCTTTACGGATACAGTAAAGAATGTGTACTGTGAGTAATTTGAATCGGTCAAAAGTTTTGCTAAGTTAAAATATTATTTTGACTGAAATGTTTGAAACATTGGATTCGAATAATAGTTCAGAGTTGACGTGAGGTAATCACTGCTTGAAATTCTTCGTTCAATGGATTTTTGCGTTAATTTTCATTTTATTATTATCAGTTTTTTTCATGTTATGATCATCGGATACAAAGCTAGAAAAACCTGTTGGACTGTATCACAATTATGCAATAACTGTTAGAATATTTACATATTCCAACCAGTTTCCTAATCCATAGTTATTTTCCATACACAAAATGCAATTTCAGTTTATAGGTTTATGAGGATTTGTAGATTTTAGCGTAGTACTCATAACAGACTGATGTCATTTATAAGACTGTTGAATACCTCGGAGAAATGGACAGATGTTTCGTCCCAGAAAGGGACTCCTTAGGGGTCGAAGCCACGGCTATCAGTTTATTCGGTGAGCACATTACCAATCAGTAGCTAGGTCCAGTGTGAAGACAAATACTCACTGGTGACACTGGATAATGGCCGCACTATATCGTGCATGAACCGGAGTAGGAAAATGTGAACTACTGAAATCTAATTCAGTCTAACTGAACACTGCTTAGGAGTCATGCACCAGGGTTAAGAAGTTGTAAAATTATCTCAAGTTTCCATTGGTTCCTAAACTGATGTCTGTCCATAATGAAAATTACCTTGAGATTATGATTTCCATGATATGAAGCTTGTAGTAGCCTTTTTATCGATATTAGTCTGTCAGTCCCATCCAAGTATTTCTTACTGGCTTACATACATTGACTGGTCACGGGAGAGTAACCAATTTCATGTTGTATACTCGTGAGTGTAGACTGAATTCTATCGATAATTTTGTAATGTGGCCACGAAGCTAGAAGGCTCAACATTGTGTTGCACATTGCTAGATGTTAGTTGATTGGAGGCAATCAGCATGAAGCCCTGTACCTAGGTCTCATGCTTGTTGTCACTCGTCAACAAGGCGTATCTGCAACCTCGACGGAAATGATGTCCTATCTGAAGCTCCAACCCATGTCACGCAGTGCGGGAATCAGTGACGTTAATGCTGAGCTAGGCCGGCTGCGACTGACCCCCTGTAGGATCGGCTTACATACACTGATTTGTTGAGTGAGACATCAGTTCCATCGAGATTGCAAACAGGCCTTGCTGACGAGTACCAACAAGCACGAAACTTAAGTCCAGGGTTTCCTGTCGACTACCTCAAATCAACAAGCATCTAGCAATGTGCAACACAATGTTGAGCCTTCTAGCTTTGTGGTCACATTACAAATTATCGATAGAATCCAATCTACATTCAGCACTAGACAACCTGAAATTGGTTGCTCTCACATAGCCAAGCACTGTATCTAAGCGAGTCCTAAGGAGAGTCAGTATCAGCTCAAGTATCTCAGAAGTAACGTTGGTACTAAAACACTGGATGGTCCAGGTTTGAGTCTCAGCAGGGACATTAGTTCAGTAAAGGTTGTGGGTATCCTGTGCTGATGAGCACCAACAAGTACGGGACTCGTCTTTTCACCTTTCTAGCCAAAAAATTAGTTTAACACTGTAAAACAAATTGTCTGGCTAATCTGGTGTACTGGACTGTTTTGACTTCAAGAGACTGAATGTCTATAAATTTCAACATAGAATATTATTGGCCTAAGTTTTTTCGTCAACAGTTTACTAAGAGGTAAAAAAACTCACTGAAGATTGAATTTTTTTTGGGTGTGTGTGTGTGTGGGATTTAAAGATATTTCAAGTTGGTATTCCCAGATTTCCATTGTTCCTCCAACTGATGTCCGTCTACAATGAATACCACTCAAGATTATTTAGACTGAACTAACAAACTAAGCCATTTGAATATGTTGTGGTGAGGACGAACAACAAAATAACTTAATTATCATTTTGACCATCTGAGATAGCCATGGTTAGGAATACTAGTATTTATATTGGATGATAATTGAAAGTAAAACAAAAATTTGGATCTTGGCCGATTCAGACCATCGTCTACCGGATTTCTGGCCAGATGCTCTACTTAAATTAGTGTTACAGAAAACTCATGATAGAGGCGCTTAATCTGCAACCTTCAAGTTAGAAAATTTATATATTTGTTGAAAGACTTTGGTTTTGTTCAAGCTATCAAGAGATACTAGATGCCTCTACACTTCTTAGTACTTAATAGCAGGGAATAATACAGTCAAATTATCACATACCCTGATAGTCTTCACTAACTTTGTTCAATATCGGTAGTCTGTGTTCTTTAAGAATTGGCAGGAAAACTTGGCATCCCATTACTGGTCTGTAAGTCAGGTGTTCAGTACATTGTTGATGATAATACTGGTCTACACCATCATCCTCATCCACATCTTGAAACAATGAACTGTTTGATTTTTTAAGCACACACTTATTCATACTGTTGACTGTTGACGAAGGTGATGAGCTTATCAAACTTGGTGAATGTTGTCCAAGACGTTCATTAGCAGTTGAGGAAGATTTCGGGAAACTCTGGTCTACACGTTGCAGCATTTTATAAAAGAACGATCCAGTTATCAAACTGTATTCAATGGCTAGTGGAAATAGAAATGGACCTAGTGTAACACCTAGGTAACCAAGACAAACTTTTGGAATACTTTCACCACTCGCATAGCTTGTCTGCTTCAGAGTTTGACCGTCTCTATTTTGAAGTAAGCCTACAGCATATAAGAAAAGTGAAAAATTCTATAGACTCATTTATACTACCACTAATGCTTTGTAGTAGTATCATAATGTACTGATGAAATAATGTAACATAACCAGTTTCTATACCATCGTGAAGTGGTTGTGTAAGAGAATGCATATAATCTTATACAAATGCACATCAGGTTATTACACGAATGTCTTTGTTCTGTGTTTAAACTCGAAGCAAAGCCTTTTTGGTGAAATTCCGTCGCATTTTAGGTTCTTTAATTTGTTTAATTGGAGTTGATCCGCACAACTTCGTCACCTGATAGGAGGTAGCTCAAGTAGTTGTTGAATTCTAAGTGCTTTCTGAAGTTCATAGATCACCATGAAAACACACCAAGTGGAATGAATGAAACAACGTCATAGGAATTTGTGTTCTGATGGTTGGTATTTGGAGTCAGTCAGTAGGAAACCAATTAGATTTCACTATTTTATAAAAAAAACTACTTTTCTAGTTAAAACAGAAATCAGAATGGTGGTTTTAGAAGTTTCCACGGTGGTCTACAGTCACACCAAATTTAGTGTTTACGTGCAATCACCATCATTACAAAAAGACCGCGCTGCAATTCCTGCTGAGATAAAAATCAATACATGTCATAAAAGGGGGCTTAAAAACATGGAGAAACCGAAATCTAATTCATTCAGTCAAATTATTGGATCTTCAGGATGTTTATTTTGCAGCATCTTGACACTAAGTTTCCTCTCTCCCGAAATAAACGATATCATCGATAATGAAACACTTTTCAACCAAGATTTTCAAAATTATCTCTCACTGAACCGATAAACTTTCGACTATGATTACCTAGAAGATAATTTTCACTCAGCATTCATTTCTGAGAAAAACGTGTGTCAAACGTCTATCGGTGAGTTTTGAAGTAAAATGTTAATGTCTAGGATGACCTGCGTGAGTTTTAATTTAGGCTTAAGCTAAAGAATTTGTGGTTCAGAGGTTTCGACTAGGCATACATTGGGTGTAGTTAGACATAGAATTTTTTAGTAAGTAAGACAAATTTAACTTGAGTTGCTTCATTAACTTTCACATGGTTGGTAAACGACACTTGAACCTACTCTACGTTATCACTCTTTTTTTTCACTAAGTCAACAAGTCTTCGAAAACCATCAAAATGAATGATTATCTGAACTGAGATTTTCTGTAGCATAACTATTTGCATTGAATCAAGTAGATAGTGAAGGTAAACACCTCTGAATGATACTAAAAGTCAGCTATATACTTTAGATGCTGATCAAAATTTAAGATTATTTTAGCCCATTAAGGTTATCGTCACCCTAACAGTTCTTTGGTTGCATTACTGACTGCAGCGATGAGTTGGTTGGTACTAAGCGATTCAAAACGGTGAACTGTAAGCCATCAGTGGATATATTAAAGAAATAAGCGCATGATACTCTCCTGTTTTTGCGTTATGGTCATTTGCTCCATGGAACCGACTGTTCATGAAGAATACAGCTGTTACTGCCGCTTCATCGCTGCTTGTTGTAGATTTTCTCTTGTTTTAATTAGGCATTGTCAATAAAAATATTCATCAAGTACTGCAAAGGTGATAAGATGAATGATATTTTCACGTTTGTAGTTGGTTCACTTTACAGAAATCTATAAACATGCCAAGTTGATGAGGTCTAGTTTTGAGGATTCTGGCTTATTACCTTCAACAAGTCAACACCAGATTATGAATATCTAACAAATAGCTTTGAAGAATTATACTCATCCCTATATAAAAAGTAATTTGGCAGGCAGCTGCTTCAACACTATGGTCTTAGTGCCACAAACCTTTATTAATTTCATACAACAGCTATATGACGACACCATATGCCAAGTGATACACAACAGAAAGCTCAGCGATGCTCCTGAAGTGAAAACAGGAGTAAGACAAGGCTGCCTACTATCACCCATGATCTTCCTGATTGTGGTGGACTAAATCATGCAGTGAACAGTGAGGAGTGAGAAGATGGGCATGCGCTGGATCGATGATAGGACCCTAGAAGATTTGAATTTCGCCGATGATGATGATTTATGTCTAATGTCGTGTAGGCAAAAACTAACAAGTTGATAAGAGAGATGAGGCAGCGAAGATGGGACTTCAAGTTAATGTAGAGAAGACAAAGGTGATGAAGATACCCAGAAAACAACAGCAACAACAAGCTCCAATCACCATCAATGGGAGAAACCTAAAGGAAGTAGTCACTTCTATAAACCTGGACAGCATTGTTTCAATTACAGGCGGCACAGATGAGGACGTCAAAGCCAGCCAGGATCGGAAAAGCAAGACAGGCGTTCACTAACCTAAAACCAGAGTGGAGATCCTCTGCACTGCACTCAGCATAAAGAACAAGATCCAGATTTCCAACACCAAAGTCAAGTCAGTGCTCCTGCATGGCTCAGAGACTTGGTGCATCACGAAAATCACTTCCAACAAACTACAGTCCTCCATCAACAACTGCCACATACGCTGGCTCCTTACTGAAGATCAGATGGATGGGCAGAAAGAATAAGCAACAAAGAACTCTCATATGGCAACGAACCAACCAACAACCTATCGCTCAACAAATATGCAGAAGAAAGTGGAGGTGGAGATGGATTGGGCATACACTGGGAATTCCAATTTTGGATATGATGCTCCAGGCCAGGCCCTTGAGTGGAACCCAGATAAGAAAGAATGAGTTGGGCGTTGTATTCAATGTTGACATGGAGGGAATCATGTGAGGAAGAAATGAAAGCTTCTGGGCTGCAGTGAAGCGAGGTTCAAAATTTTGCAGAGAAGAGAGTGGAATGGAGGCGTGCTACTGAAGCCGTATGTTCCACTAGGAACCCAGGGGAAAAATAATAGTTATTATTATTATCAATACATAGAAAACTTACTACTTTGAGAGTGGTCCTGAATGGAAAAGTTGAATGAATTATGCGTCTAAAATCAATGTGAAACGAAACGGTTTCATATTAATTTTTTATTGTCTATACTTTTGATATATATTTATAGGAAAACAGTTGAAGAAGTATGCGTAAATACATAAGTATTCCTAGCCACAGAAGCTCTTTAACCCATGACTATATAAAGTAACATAAGGTTTTTGCACTGCATTAACTTACATGGTAAAGTTATGCCATCTGAATGCTAGTCACATCTGTCCTGTTCAGAGTCAAATATTCGAACAATGCCGAAAGAGTATGCAAAGCATTGGAAGTGAGTAAATAGTATTATGAGGTGAAATAAGCGCATTTTATGCTTACAAAAATGTAAAGCTTCATGATGAAATTTTCAGGATGAAAAGACTTTTAGTTTGGTCACATCAAAAAGTGAGACTGTAAGCCATTTTAAGCTGAACAGCTGAGACCGAATATTCTCTCGAATTTCCGAGAATTCATAGAGTCTTGGCTGTACACCGCTAAGGAGACTCAAAGTTAAAAGAGAAAAGTACTTACATTCACTTTTCATAGATGAAAACTGGGTATTCAACTTAACACATGCTTTTGTGCTTACTTTAGGTTCTAAAAATGTAAGCTATAACAAAAAATATACTCATGGAGTTAAAACAAAGTTAAATTTTATCCATATTACCACCGGGAAGTGCAGCCACCTTATTTCTGTTCTTCACCAACCAGTTCTCTTTAACTGAGGAGCGTTCTCATTAAATGAAGGATGACTGGTATGTAAAAGAGTACGGAAATTAGTTAGTAGACGGTGAGTGACACAGATTTTAAGTCCTGAGTGGTCATCATGAGCCAAAGTTGACTGGTCAACTTTGCAATGTAGCAGCTTGGCTGACAGACTCGACATAGAACCTTCTTTTGGTATTAGACACGAATTGTTACTTGCGCTAATAATGATTATGAATTTACCTATAAGATGTATGCAGTACAAACTACCACTATCAATATTTCATGCCACTAGTCAGACGTAAAGGGAATCAGTGGGTGGGAACCAATACATCTGTGGAATCTTAAAAGCTTTTCATATTGATTAACATTGAAGCTATGAAGTTACGTTTTCTGCCTCTTAACACTTATCAGTAAAATGCAAATGTGTCTTTTAGGACACTCATCTACATGTTATAGGATTAATATAAGTGTAAAACTTGGGCACTGTGGTAGAATTTAATTCCATATTGCATTTGTTTATTTGATTTATAACACATACACAGTGATACAGTATATATTTATTGCTCATAAGCATATCAATGTAATCATACTGCCTTCGACATTTGATTTTTATGGTCCTGTTACCTCTCATTCCTTGTTTCTGTTGGTAGTAAAATTTTCCATATCTCTGGTATAGGTGCTGCATCATTTCTGTGACATGTGTTGGTTGGGTGTTGATTCGATGAACAAAGATTCAGTAATCAATCTCTTCCTCTCTCCACCTAATTATACTGGACTTCAGTACAGTGGTTTTGTCCTTCATCCCTATTGTATGGTTGTCTGTTAATGCATGCATTGCAATAGCCAAGTGTGTTTTTCTAGATTATTGATCATATTCGGGTCTGTCATTCTATATTTAGCTAAATTTCTATGCTTCAAGTTTTTATCCATCGTAAACGGATATCAGTTGGAGGAACATTGAACAGCTGCTTCGTCCAACTATGGGACTCCTCAGAAGTCAGCACCCACAACCCCACACCAACAGGGATCGAACCCGAGACCTTCAGGTTCCCCGGCCAGCACGTTACCACTGAGCTAGCCACTGGTTCAGAATCCAATGCTCCATATTTACAACTTCTGCTAGCTCAAGATATAGTGCAACGGCCACCCAATGTTATCGTTGGGTGAGTGTCCTCACGACCATCGGTCTTTGCATCCACTTGTGACGACTTCTCATTGGAACTTCGGTAATACCTCTCGAAGCTAGTCACCAATGAGCACCAGTTCAATTGAATTTTGAGGGATTTGTGGGGACTTGGAAATATTTCAAGTTGTTATTCATCGTAGACTGATATTAGTTGGAGGAACAAAAGAAACCTGAGAGTACTGGACAGTTGTTTCGTCCTAGTATGGAACTACTCAGTGGTGCGTACCCACGACCCTGCCAGTGATAGAGCCCGTGACTTTCAGGTTCCATGGCCAGCACGTTACCTTTGAGCCACTGAACACTATTGAGGAGTCCCATGCTAGGATGAAATAGCTTTTCAGTGCTCCCACTTTCCCCTTGTTCCTCCAACTGATATCAGTCTACGATGAATAACAACTTGAAATATTTCCAAATCCCCACAACTCCCTCAAAATTCCTGTTTCTCTACTCTAACTGACCCATAACTATCTAGTTTGTCGGTTGAAGGATTCGATACAACCAATTAAGCACAACAATCTAATCTATCAAATTCCATGTAATGACTATGAGGTCAAGTACATGCTTCAGACGGTGTTTTTGAACTAAGGAAATGATCTGTGTAAGATATGAATGTGAATCTTTAAATATCGTGCTTTCAGGTTCATTATTCTAGCTAGTTTTATTCTGGAAAACAAAGCAACACCAATAGTGTTTAGTTTGACAGTAGTTTATTGAATTACACACACATACATACATTATTAGAAAATTTAAGACTTACGTAACTATGATTCCCAACTACAGGTTTCGAAATATGTGTACGTTGATTTGTAGGCGTATAATATGCAGGTGTTTTTAATGTGTTGGCCACTTCACCAACAACAACTTTAAGCCAATGACAAAAATTAATTGTTGCCAGGTGTATGTAGGCCAGACGTACTGCTACTCTATGCACATGTAGTATGACCTAAAATATTTTTCAAAAAGATAGCCAATTCAGGGATATTGATTGGTTGTTATCCGTTGAATATGATTAAGAAAAATGATGCGCAGTAAGAAAGCAACGTAACATACTCAGATATCACGATTATGAAAGCCAGTGAGTGAACTGAAGGTAGACCTTGAGAGTTTACTAGGAACTTGTCGAAACTAATCATACCCTGGATTTTCGTGGGCTGACTCCAGTCATTAGAAGTAATAAACTAACAGATAAGGAATTGGGAAACAATGCATAAGATAAGAATGAATGAACAAATGGTACTCTAACAAAGAGCGAAAACACTTAAGTAGATTTAATTATTATTATTATTTTTCCCCTGGGTTCCTAGTGGAACATACGGCTTCAGTAGCACGCCTCCATTCCACTCTCTTCTCTGCAAAATTTTGAACCTCGCTTCACTGCAGCCCAGAAGCTTTCATTTCTTCCTCACATGATTCCCTCCATGTCAACATTGAATACAACGCCCAACTCATTCTTTCTTATCTGGGTTCCACTCAAGGGCCTGGCCTGGAGCATCATATCCAAAATTGGAATTCCCAGTGTATGCCCAATCCATCTCCACCTCCACTTTCTTCTGCATATTTGTTGAGCGATAGGTTGTTGGTTGGTTCGTTGCCATATGAGAGTTCTTTGTTGCTTATTCTTTCTGCCCATCCATCTGATCTTCAGTAAGGAGCCAGCGTATGTGGCAGTTGTTGATGGAGGACTGTAGTTTGTTGGAAGTGATTTTCGTGATGCACCAAGTCTCTGAGCCATGCAGGAGCACTGACTTGACTTTGGTGTTGGAAATCTGGATCTTGTTCTTTATGCTGAGTGCAGTGCAGAGGATCTCCACTCTGGTTTTAGGTTAGTGAACGCCTGTCTTGCTTTTCCGATCCTGGCTGGCTTTGACGTCCTCATCTGTGCCGCCTGTAATTGAAACAATGCTGTCCAGGTTTATAGAAGTGACTACTTCCTTTAGGTTTCTCCCATTGATGGTGATTGGAGCTTGTTGTTGCTGTTGTTTTCTGGGTATCTTCATCACCTTTGTCTTCTCTACATTAACTTGAAGTCCCATCTTCGCTGCCTCATCTCTCTTATCAACTTGTTAGTTTTCGCCTATAGATCTTCAAGTTTGTGTGACATTAGACAGAAGTCCTCGGTAAAATCCGAGTAGATTTAGTTAAGTGGACGATAAGCATTCATAGGTACCAGTTATTCATCATTAAGCACAGTATATGAAAGATATTGAAAATGATGATAATTTTAACAGTTAGGCTTTTCGAAATGAATTTTGCTACTGCTACCGTCTTCCATTTGTGAGCATTCCCAAAGTACGTATCTTGCTACTTTGTGTAGATCCAAGTATATATACACACACAGAAGATGCACATTTCTGTGTCAGTTAGCACTTAATGTGTATGTTACAGTTGGTTTTTACTGTAGTTGACGAGCTGAATAAAGTGGTCAAATTTTCATTCTAACCCCTCCGAAAGTTAAAATGAATCTGAATCTGAACTGCAGTTGGAAAATCTTGTTGATTTTATTCATGTCCTGTTACCAGAGTCAAGAGATTAACAAAAAACTTAGAGTGGACACCGTAGGTCAGGCCAACAATCATTTGCTCAATGGTCATTCAGAAGTTACTTCTATGTTATTAACCTGCACTCACCGATTGCATAAATAGCTTCGACTCTTCTGGTAAAATTATTTCTAATTTAATTCCTAATTCTTCGTTAGTAGCCTCCCTCTAGACGAAGGATATAGATCATATATACGACTGAGTTCATTACAATTTATTCTGTTAGCTTACTAACGGCTTCTGTGTAATGTCAGCTTGAAAATTCTTTTCATTCAGTAGAAACATACTATCTGGCATTATTGTGTAGTGGTGGAACTCGCCATGCCTTACATCAATACATGAAAACAGACAAAGGAATGAAGCATAAAGTCTCATAAAGCCATAAAAGTTAAAAGATGAGGAGCTGGAGCCAACAAATATGTGTGACAAAACGGTTATATGAAGACATATGTGGATGGATTTGCTGTACTGTGATCACTTTTGATCTATATCACCTAGTGAATCATAACACTGGCTTTTGGCTGTTAGGTGGATCCCAACCTAAAAGTCTACTTTCCCTTGCACCACTTAAACCAATAGTCGTAGACTTTGTGCACACAGAACATATTTTGACCTAGCCATTCTTACCATTTCTCCAGCCTTAATCTGTTTCATTTAACATAGCTTGTCCACGAAGATGATGGCTGGGACTGTGTAACACGCTACTCAACCACCTCATTCGATTCACGTTTCCAGCCTAATCAACTATCTTGCCTGCCTAACCTAGGCCTCTACGCTTAACCTAAAAATTACCAACCTCGTGTAAAAATTGTCCTGCTTGGAAACTTCAGTGTGTTCAAATCTTAAACGTTTATGTGAACAGTAATACAAATAGAGATCAGCCCTACAAAAGTTGTATAGCGGAAAACTTTGCCACCTTCATTTATAGAAATGATTTAGAACAAATAGTATCCTTGACTTTAATTTACACAGAAGACGCAGTTCAGCCCAAATGTCCTATGTATAAATGTATCACTGATAAGGCTCAATAACCAGTCAGTATAAAGATAATGTTACGGAGAACTTATATCGATTTTTCAGCTTTCTTATTATTACCACTAAATAGTTTCAGAGATGAAAAGAAATCGCACACCCTTCCCGTATAACATAACTCCTGAAACAACTATGAATGAATTAAATCACTGAAACAGTACTTTTCGGAAAAGGGATTGTAAATAGGCCTTCATTTTGAAAGTTACTTCATCTAAGAAGAAGCTCAGAATTTCGGTTGTGAGTTATCAGCACACATTAAAAAGGTATATCCATTGCTGATAGATATTTAGTCTTCAGACTGTCCGCCAACTGCTTCAGGATACCTAACACTTATTATACTGCGTTGTGATTTTTAATTACTTAACTTTGTTTTCATGCTTACGATTTGATAGATACAATTTGACCAGTACTGAGATTTTGACAAAATTATATTTCCTACCAGCCTGTCACTGTTCAAGATATTGACTAATGTTCTTCACTCCTTCTTCAGTCGGACTTCATATCACAGGTAAGCTACCCTGTTTTTAAATATTCCAATTTTCGTTGACCAGCTGAGTTCGTAGTACGTAGTATACCGTACTGCATTATAAGTAATATATTGTTTATATTCGAATTTTACTCACAAGCACATCTTCTATGAGATACCTACTTAAACTTTTGTAGTTAAAAATTTGTTTCTTTCGAACGACTACATACAAAACAGTGATTAACAAATAGACAGAAAGTATGTAGACTCTCTATAAACACCACTGTAAATGAATTCTTATGAAGAGATATCCTAAGTGAGTGAGGAACCCTTTAAGCAAGCCCATTCTGATCCGATATCATTATATTATTATTAGTCCTTTGGGTTCCTAATGGAACATAGTAGCACGTAGCACGTCTACAGTGAACTCTGTTCTCTGAGATCTTTTGAACCTGGTTCCACGACAGCCCACAACCTCTCATTTCCTCCTCGCACGACCTCCTCCATGTCACCCTCGCCTCCGACGCCCAACTCGTCGCTTCCCATCTGGGTTCGACTCGATGGCCTGGCCTGATGCGTGATGTGTCCCCAGTCGGCCTTCTCAGTGTACGCTGACTCCAATCCATCTCCACTTCCTTCTGCATATTTGTTGAGCGACAGGTTCTTGGTTGGTTCGTTCCCAGAGCTCCTTGTTGCTTATTCTCTCTGGCCATCTGATCTTCAGCAGCGAGAGTAGGCAGCAGTTGTTGATGAATGTCTTTAGTTTATTGCAAATCCCTTTCGTGACGCGCCAAGTTTCTGAACCATACAGAAGCACTGACTTGACGTTGGTGTTGAAAATCCGGATCTTGTTCCACATGCTGAGTGCAGAAGATCTCCACACTGGTTTCAGGCTAATGAACACCTGTCTTGCTTTTCCGATTCTGACTTTGACATCCTCGTCTGTGCCACCTGTAGTTGAACCGATAGCAAGAATAAAATTCACAAAACCACCATTTTTAAAAGATACAAAGAGACTGACCATATGATGTGATTCTACAGGAAAATTTTCGCTACATAATATGCAAGAAGAGTTTCAAAATTCTATCGTAATGATTTACAGTATTAAAAATGTCGTCAGTGTGAAACCTAGTCGTTCAAGGAGTCAATAACAACTTTTATTTCACTCTGACTAGGTAACGCTAAGAAGAGGACAGTGTTTTGATTAAAACTGCTCGGTTTATATGTAAAATATAAATTATCGATATCATACCTTTAAGGAAGACAAAATGAAAAAATACCTTCAAAATGCATGAAGAAAGCCTAAGAAATTCTGATGAATGAAAAACCTAATACATGCTGTCAACCTCTCTTGGATAAAGCTTTTGACATGAAATGAAGCGGAAGTTCAGATTAAAAACAAACCATTTTTGAAAATAAACTTACCCTATGATATTTGAATATAAAATATGTTTGCCAGAGAACCCATATTATTCGGATTATATGCTTTGGTATCCATAATTTACTGTGACATACTGGTTCACGTACTTCCCATACTGATGATAAATTGAAGCCATCATGAATCATAACGCCTAATCCAAAACCTATTGAAAAAGATAAACGTTTTTCCTGATGATAAGATGAACTATCGAACACACTGTTGGTCGAAAAAGTATAGCACAAACGAATTAATAATTCTTACACAATGTGGAAGGTAGCCTTGACTTACGTTGAAAAATAGATCTTGTGAAAAAGTAATGTTAAAACAGAAAGGTGATAGCATACTTTAATCCCTATGGAGACTAGCACAATGCACTATTAAATCAGCTTAAACCAACTTCAAGGATGAGGTTTCTGGTTTAATTATCAACGTCTCAACAAAATCTTGTGTTCAAATTTTTTTCTCATCAGTAATGCTACGCTCTGAATAATCCACTCATGAAGCACATTTCTATACAAAACTTATTCATTTCAACCATATGAACCAACAACAAGAAAGTAACTTAAATTCATTCTAACGCTAGCTGGTGGTTGATACAATGTAACCTAGGGGATAGTACTCTAATATCAAAGAGACCAGAGGGAACATTTAAATATATTCTGAGGCAGCAACTTTCATTAGAATGCAGGTATATCGGAGTGGAAATTCTGAAATAGGAAGAGAAATGCGTTTCAGAATCCGGAGGTAGACATTGACGACTACAAGTGAACACTTTACCTCTTGATTCCTTCAGCTTTTAGTTATGCATTAATTCAGATATATTATGAAAGCATGCAAAATTAGTAATAATAAACGAACTACGTTGTTAGAATCCTCACTTTGGTATAATTTCAAATGAATACACAGGCTAAAGTTGTTCATTAACATCAATTAAGCTTAAATATGACCTTTAATAACATTCAATGTTCAATTGACTGTTACCACTTTAAGCCTTCCACAAATCAATGTTTTCATTAGATATCATTTCAAAAAGTATTCAATGTCTTAGTTTAACTTGGTATTTATTTGCACATTGAAATGCTGAGAAATAATAATAAGTTAACCTGATTTGAAACCAAAATAAAGAGAATGAATTTCAAACAGTTGGTTCATTTTATAAATGCGTATAAAATTGTTTCGTTTAAGAGTCGTCATTATGTCAATTATCAACAGTATTTAATTTATTTATGTCATTTGTCATTTATACCATATCTACTTTTCACAGAGAATAAGAAAACATTTGTATAGAATTATCTTTAATTTTTAAACACTATTGTCACCAAGTTGATCGTATAAATACCTATCTTAATTTGTCATATCTCACTCAGTGGATCATCTTTTCAAACAAGTCGAGTCAAATTCCACGCACCTAAACTTTTCAGTCACATTAGAAGTTATTCAGCTTAACGCTTCGGAATCGTCATACTGAGGCGCATTGAAGCTACTGTTGAGGTCAAAGGTAGATTATCACATGTTCTTCTGTGAAGTATTACTGTACCGACTGAGGTATGAAACCCAACTTCAGACTATACTTCACTCTTATATCATTTTTCTGAAAAACAAGATCCTAATGGCACTGTTTATAAAGTGAATTATTCAAGATTATATAACTGTCATTTATGTGAGAGAAGGATTCGGTAGCCAAAAAAACCAGAAGCTGGCTGGCATTTCTATCCCCTGGTTTAGTCAAGAGGGGCCTTACTGCTAACCCAGGAAAGTCTGTTGAAAACAAGTCACAATTCAGGTTTTCGTTTAATTTAGATTTCTAATGAAGAATAGTCACATAGTTGCTTCTTTAATTAGAATAATTGTTTCCAACGTTCTTAGTTCTTGATAGGCGTGAAAAAAACTGAATGTTATTCAGTCATGAGATTATTCTATAGTTTCCTTCAGAAAATGAAATATCCATATCACAAACCATGATCTTCAGTGCTGAGTGAATGGTATCAGGTTACAGAACGGAAGTGCACGAGGAATACTATTGACCGAAAACTCATACTAATTACTCATGTTTTCCAGATTGACTGACGTGATCTAAGAACCGTAAGAGTTTTAGCTGTATCCGAGGCTAAGAAAATCAGCGAAATCTTGAGGTGACTAGACTAGAAGACCTGAGTCCCTCGAACCGCCTCATACACAGCCATATGCTTCAACAGAGCAATAATATCTTAATTTAAAGCCAGTGCTTGTAAAATTCTCATTTTCTGGTACGAAGGACGCAGCTGACTTTAGTAGCTAGCCAGTTTACAGGTTAGCTCAAAACGTTGGCAATCTAAGCTGCCCCCGTCCACATGCATCATGGATGTTTCTGTTTCTAAAATAAAATCACTTTAAAGGTGATTAGCAAATATCTTTATAAATATGGATTAGTTGGATATGTGACTATTCATTTCAGTCAACGGGGAGAACTCATGGAATCGTTCTACTCATACAGACGATTAACCGATTTGACGTACAAATGCATACTTCGTAAATAACCATTCAAAACTTGAGATGAATAAAACACACCTGGGTGAACATGCCTGTCTTATATTATACAATGCATCAAGCAACTCTTACTACGTGACTTTACTGGCTACCGGGATTGCGCATAGGTGACGCAAGCTTACATGGCATCATGGTGGATGATGCTTTAGAATTCGATCGGCACTTACGACTGGACAAGATGAAGTTAATAACTCTCTAATGATCGATTACTGTGCCTAATCCAGTCCTACAGCTCAATAGCTCCACGGTATCTTTGCTGACTACAGCACTGGGTGACGGATGTTCGAATGCCAGTTGGAGTGTCAGTTTTACCGACGTTCTAGAAACGTCTTACAGATTGGGGCCATAAATCACAAGACCGAGATTCAGGGATTTCTACTGATTGCTTCCGTCCAAATAGCATAAATGAAGTGAGCGTTTGGCTATGCGCCCTCAGACAAACACATGTATCAAAAGTTTGACAATCAATCTCAATAGCAAACGTAGTTCAACTGTTTCCCATTTATTCCTAAGACTTGAGTACCTCTGCAATTTCATATACTGCAACCAGTGAAATTTCCTTATCACAGCGACTGTTGCTCTACAGCCTGAATTTTCAAATACTGTTTAATTTGAAGAAATCATATGAGGTGAATCTGATGATGACTTCACAAAATTGCTTACCATAACAAAGCAACACTTCAGAAATTTTTAAAACTCCGTCTTATCAGCAGGAGGTAAATCATTTTGGAAATAACTTTTAAAGACTCAATTATAAAAAAAAGAAAAGTATGTTTACTCATTTGTCAGTTGTCTTTACACTGACAAATAGTGGTGGTCAAAAAAGCCGTTCAATGTAAACGATGTCTGCAGTTCAAATAGAAGCGAGGCAATAACAGGATTTATGCCACCGGCTTCTCTTCATTTTTCTTTTCTGTTACCCCATCTTTTTGTTAGCCGTCAACTATGACTGTAACTTACATTTCGATTTCAATATATTTATTGTTGAGAATGTTAACAAACACAGTCTAACAGCATAGGTACTAATAATTTATGGTCTGAGACTAGATTATATAACTTTTTCCGGAACCGCCGATTGGTAGCATGTTGAGCTGCAGCATAGAGTGGTGTGAAAAAATCTCTAAAAAACAGCACATCCTTCGAATTTGTAGATAAACTTGATCAATGAACACCAAAAGGTATGAAAATAGTTGGAAAAGATTTTTAAAACTTTATCCAAACATCTAACCTAAATGCAACTCTGGTTTCAACTTCAGTAGGTAGAAGAAACTACCATATTTTGAAACACTCACGCTATTCTGATATTTTAATGTTTTTAAATAGGTAAACTAGGAAAAAATTATTGATGCTACTTGTAGTGATTCATTTATTTTGACTAACTCTTAGACATCTGAGTATGTAATATTACTACTGAAATCAGCAGAAATCAGTAATATGTTTTTGAACGATTTGGAGAACCTCTCTTAAACAAAGAAAACAACCATTAGAAAACTATGGAAGCGCTTACCAACTGCTCCTAGACGCATATATAAATTCATTCCTTCTGGATGTAGTGAAATGTAACGCTTTCCATGATTATAATAGTTAATTACTGGTGTATACTGCTTGTCACTTGTTGTCGATTCAATATCAGACATTTTTTCGAATTGATTTACTGGTTGTGAAGGATTTGCATCATCTGATAATGGTGTCTTATATATAATAAAAATGTTGAAGTAGTAGAAAGAAATGAAAATTTTTCTTCAAAAAATAAATATACGTGCCAATATTATCAATGTTTACTAGTATTTACTCTTGAATGAATTCGACATATGCAATTTTTCTAGTCTGCGACTACTTATTTCTCTATATTTGTGTCGTAATCAGCAAAATGATTCTTACTTACGTTATTTCATATCAGTTTTACGATTATGCCTGTTGTCAGTCATAACTTTGTCAAACTGTAGTTTAGTTGTCTGGACAATTGATCATGGCAGGTGACAAACCTTTGCGTTGACTTTACTTCTGTTAGGATCAAATGAATATAGATCCTACACCACGCCACAGAGATTTACAGATGTGTGGTATAAGCTTATTAGAACTTCTTGTTTTCATACCATAACGAAGTGCGTACGATAGGTTCCATTGGGACTTGACCCTATTTTAGCTAACAAAACATGTTGAAGTAGGTGGTGGACCAGCAGGCGCAACACATATTCAAACCACCTTATTCAATGAAGGCTCACAACTTCGGCGAACTATGTAGCTGCTTTGCTTAGTACTGGACACCTAACCTCAACAGTCATGAATGTGTTTATATATTTTGGTAAGAATAATCCATTGGGATCTAAAATAAGTGACTAAAAGAAACTGAACGCAGTTCGAACCTCACGATGGGAAAGCAATTCCATATGAGTTTGTGTCTGTGATGGTGCCTAGAGTAAATACTCTTGAACTATTAGTGGGCTCAGACGCACTCAGATTCATTGGATTAGTTCTGTTGATAAGATGCATGTGATTTATTATAAATTCTTAGATGCTAGTTTTTTAAAGATTATTTCCTTGCTGATTATCGTCATTCACATATATAACCACCGAGAACAAGAGGAAATCTGAGAGTTGTTTACACCCATTTCTTAGTCCGTAAGCACTATGACCTCTTAACCTCATGGAAGTGGTAAATCTAAATTACTCAGGTTTTGTTGGAATGAATGAAATCCTTCAACCAACATTTTTAACATCAAGGACAAAATAATACGTTATATTTGTATTAAGACATGGTTGACTAATTTTCATGATTATGTAAATAGTAATATATGAAGATTATGAACTCGAAACAAAAACTTTGGGAATTCACTTAGTAAAATGAACCACTGAATTCAATGTTTCCCAGGGGTTATTTAGTTCTTGGCATGGTGCAATAAAAACTGTATTCAACCGAATTGAGTCTGAAAAGTCCCTAATCTAGGTGTGAGTAATTTTGTTCTTGGGTCTAACAACTCACAGCCAGGTAAATACATTTTTTTATAGTTTACAACTTAAGGATAGGTTATTTTCTATCTCATAAGTTATCTGGAAGGTAACTGGCTTAACGATTAGGAGGAAAAGCGCGTCTTTGATACCATATCTAGCCACCAAACAGACAGCAGAAGCTGGTTAACCACTTAATTACTTTATGTATGTAAACAACTGAAGTAAATTACAAGTTGATTCTATTTATACAACTTTGCTCACTCCAAGTATTACAGAATAAATTTCAACCTTCATACAAGGTTGTTTTGACCAACTTTAAGGTGGACTGTGCTTTTTCTCAGTAAATGACTAATTTTAACATTGTTGCGAATGTATTGATAATCGCACAGAATCAAATGTGCTTTCTCTGAAATTTTTACTAATGTTAGGATACCACAATACGACTAAGTTTCCCACCACTTTCTCGTTGAGTGAATCTTACAGATGATTTTCTCTATCTTCTGAACTTTGATATACTGAACTCATGATGATACCTAGACTGAAATTGAAACGACGGTATATGTGAAAAACACTCTAATATTTATGAGGCTATTAGAATATGTTAAAAATTACTGGTTAGTAAAAACGCCCATTCAGTAAACCAACAAATGAACTTACTGAATTCGGTTCACTTAACTCATGATGTTCATTTATAACTATAATAAAAGGAATGATTTAGAAGATTAATTTGAATTTAGTTTTAAAAATGAGTAAATTATGCGTTTAATAATGAGTGTTATTATAAAACTAAAAGTGTAGGAAACCTCTTTTGACCTCATTCAACAGTCATATGCTATATGAGGATGCCAAATGATTCACAACGGAAAGCTCAGTGACGCTTAGAAGTGAAGACAGGAGTAAGATTAGATTGCCGCCTACGATCACCAATCATCTTCTTGATTGTGATCAACTTGACTGGATCATGTAACGAAGTGTTAGGAGCGAGAAGATGGGCATACGCTGTTTGACTGATGAAAGGGCTATAGAATATTTGCATTTCACCGATAATGATTTATGTATGATGTTTTGTCGTATAAGCTTGCAGATCTACAGGTGAAAACTAATAAGTCTGTAGAAAAGACGGGCAAGCGAAGATGGGACCACCTTCAGGTGAACGTAGAGAAGACAGAGGTGATGAAGATACCTAACCACCATCAACAACAACAAGCACCAATCACCATGAACGGGAGAAATATAAAGGAAGTATTCGCTTTTACCTGCCTACCTGGACAGCAGCATTTCAGCTACAGGTGGCTGCACAGATGAGGATGTTAAAACCAGGATCGGAAAGACAGCAAGACAGGCCTTCATTAACCTGAAATCAGTGTGGAGATCTACTGCACTGCACTTCACTCAATATAAAGCGTGAACAAGATCCGGATTTTCAACACTAATGTCAGTCAAGTCAGTGCTTCTCTGTGATGGTTGAGAGACTTGGTGCGTTACGAAAAGCATTTCCAACAGACTGGAAACATACATGAACAGCTGCAGCCTATGCTCACTAAGTACTGAAGATCAGATGGTCAGAATAATAAGAGTAAACAGCAAAGAACTCTGTCCTTGCAACGAACCAAGAGCCCAGTGCCTAACAAATATGCTGAAGAAAGTGGAGATGGATTGGATTGGGCATACACTGAGAAGAATGTTTAGGGACATCAGGCGTCAGGCTGGGCCCTCGAGTGGAACCCAAATGGGAAACAACGAGTTGGGCGTCCTAGGTGAGGACGACATGGAGGAGATGGTGTGAGGAAGAAATGAAAGTTTATGGGGAGTTGTGGAGCCGGCTCGAAAAGACTGCAGAGAAGAGAGTGGAATGGAGACGTGCCACTGAAGCCCTATGTTCCACTAGGAACCCAAAGGACGAATAATAACAACAATAATGATAATTATTATTATGATTACAATAAATGGTTCCCATTGGGATTGGATTATGTTCATGACTTTTTCACAGGGTGATAACAGATGTTGCTGTCAAGTTATGAGTTCTGATTAACCTGAAAATGAGCGACTGGAAAAAGAATGTTTACGACATTAAAAATGAATTTAAGATCGCGTTTCAATTCCCTGAAATTTGAGATTAGAAATAATTAGAACTCTTATAGTTCAGACTGGAACTCCTTTAAAATATTTATATTTAGAACGAAACTAAGATACCCTACTCGAAGTGGGAATGAAGTCACTAACTGAAACCTCACCGGGAAATTCCACTTTCGTACTTCTTCAAGGCAATCTGTAAACTGATGTTAAGCGTCAACAATGCAGAAGGAATATAATGAAGACAGGCACTAGAGTTCAATATAAAGATATAGGAACCACCAGTACTGACCATCAGTACTTGCTAGAAAAAGTGATGCAACTTAAACAATAGATGAATTTTGGATCTGATATCGAACTTAGTAAAAATGTATTCAGTACGCTAGAGTGTCTCAACTACCTATTTGGAATAAACTTAACCAGTAGCATCACTGAACTATTCCACTTCACACTACCGAAATGATGAGTTTTCTGGAGTTTGGCCAATACATCCTACTTGTTATATAGAAATCAGTAGTACATATTGTGTTTTGTACTATCTTCCAGCACTTGTAACAGAAAATATCGCTCAGACTACTTACCCATACTTTTATCATCAACCAATTTGCAAGTACTTCTTGACTTGAAGATTTCACTCAAAGCTGTGTTTATCGCTTGCTTTTTTGTTCCACTGTGTATTAAAAATTGTAAGTAGGCCAATACAAGAACTGCTCCACAATATTGTGATATTAGAAATATCTATGCGATATAAAGACAAAAAGTGAAATCGAACAATAAACAGTTGTTTAATGCTTGTTAAACATTAATTTCAAAGATCATGGAAACGACACCTTATTGTTGAGTAGGTTTTAAGGGAATTAAATGAAACTTTTGCAAATTGTATAATCCGTGACGAAAATCTTGCACACAGATGAGAGTTAATAAGGAGATTTCACCTTGGTTTGCACAAACCCTGACTAACTGGCTACTGATAAGATCTTAGCATGGATACGAAAGCCTGTTAGATATTTGGAAAACTACTTTAACGTTTTCTCCAAAAAAACTTCACACTCCCTAGTAAACGACAAGTATAGTACATGGCAATCAGCTATGCTTCTTTATATCTGTAACACATGGACAGCTAAAGTAGCTGACACAAGAAGGTCTTAGGTTTTCGATCATGTACTCCCTTGTGACATTGCTCTGCTGTGACACAATCACATACTGGGAAACGTCAAAGTTATTTATAAAGTTATCGGCAAAGAATTCGAGTAACATTATGACGGATAACGACTGTGGTAACTAAGATCTATGTAAAAAATGTCCAACCATCTTCTCCATTAAAAGGCAGTTTTGAATGTGCTTGGACTAGATTGAAAGAGATTACTCACATGAACAAATGACATGAATCTATGACGCCACTAATTGCTATCATGAGCAATGTGTAGGGTGTACTTTTTTATATGGGGTGATTAAGTTATTATGACTGAACGATAAAACGTCTTTGTCAATATAGATCAACAGTTACAACAATCATGTAGGCGCGGTGAAACTACAGAACATTTACGTACACATCATTATTGATCATTGAAAGAAAACGGCCTAAATGGAAATCAACATTTCAAGTCATAAGCCGATAAGGCAGAAGTTTTGGATATTATCTTCGTTTCATGTCACCGATTGATTAGGAAAAACCTTATTGGACAATTTATCCCATTTACCAGTCAAAATAAATATTCAGCTTTGACCTGGTGGTTTTACATTAGGCAGAAAACTGTGTATTAATGATGTATTTTGTCGAACAGGGAGTCTTCCCTACAATCACAAGCCGGTCTTTGTCTTCTGATTTTCGCTGCTTAGTGAAGTTTTGAGGGAGTTGTGAGACTTGGAAATATTTCAAGTTGTTATTCATCGTAGACTGATATCAGTTGGAAGAACATTGGAAACCAGGAAGCACTGGGCAGCCGCTTCGGCCAACTATGGGACTCCTCAGAAGTCAGCACCCACAACCCCACACCAACAGGGATCGAACCCAAGACCTTCAGGTTCCCTGGCCAGCATGTTACCATTGAGCTAGCCATTGGTCCAGAATCCAATGCTCCATATTTACAACTTCTGTTAGCTCAAGATATAGTGCAACGGCCACCCAATGTTATCGTTGGGTGAGTGTCCTCACGACCATCGGTCTTTGCCTCCAATTGTGACGACTTCTCATTGGAACTTCGGTAATACCTCTCGAAGCTAGCCACGGAACCCGAAGGTCACGAGCTCGATTACTGGCGGGGTCGTTGGTGCGCGCTGCTGAGGAGTCCTGTACTAGGACGAAACAGCTGTCCAGTGCCCCCAGGTTTTCTTTGTTCCTCCAGCTGATGTCAGTCTACGATGAATAACAGCTTATTTAAGTGTAAATCACCGAGGGAGAATGGTCGCTATTCGTATTCAGTCCAAGTGCCCAGTCGTATTGTTATCTTTAGCGTGTCGATTACTATTCATTTGGTCCCTTCACTTATCTTCTTTCCGACACTTTAGTTCAGTATCTCCTAACTATATCTTATTTTTTCTCTACTCACTTATGTAGTACGGCAACTGGAATCTCTACAATTTTGTATAGCGTTCGTCTTTATTTCACGCGCTTCTCTTTTTATGTTTATCCGGTTCAATGAAAATAAAGGTAGTAGATATCGAAGGTGAAGGATAGTATTATTGAAGCATGCCTTGTGATTCCATATCGCAATCATTGATTCGTATAACGCATAGTGATGTAGCATTATTCACCAGATATTCTCAGATACAATCTAGTGTCCATAATTATATAATTGCAATAATGGGTGATCAACTCACCCCAGAACAATATTCCATGAATAATAATATACCGGTGTGCACTGTATCAAATAGGCAACTTTAACATGGGATTGCATTCACTCATAGTGTTAACTTCCGTTGCCCCGTACTCAGACTTATGTTTGAGTTGTCGTTTCAAAGATTTATAAATCATCGGGAACCTAATTCTAAGTGTGACAGATTTATATTACCTGAATTGCAGAGAAATTATGGTTGACTTCTCAGTGGATACTCCTAAGCTGTAAGTGAACAGCATTATTGTTTCTCTTGAAATACTTGTCAAGACATTTTCACTACATTCCACAATTAAGCAGAATATATAAAGATTTGATGAAGTTGTTGAATACTTACAATGAAGAGGATAATTTTGACCGGTATATTTTGTTTCGAGACATGTAGCGATACTAAAGATAGCTTTATGAGTAAATTCATGCCATAAGCAAATTAAACACAACAAAGTAACAACCTGCTGATTTATACAGAAGGCTGTGAGCTATATCGTTGAAGTGACGTCCAATAATACTCGATACATACGAAAATCTAACCAACAACTTCATAGTCACTAGTTCACCGCTGGTCACCCACTGTACATAATAATTCCAGAAACTCAAATAAGTGTATTAATCACAATAACACAGACCATATTTATATAGATACCAGAGAAAATCCCCTGTATTCATCTTTTCAGAATAGTACCAGCAGAAAATAGGGCAAGATTTCAACAAAAGAGGTCTAGCAATTCAACATTATATATTATCGGGGATTTACAAGTACCATACATCAAGATTTTAATTTCTTTACCCTGTCGAAAAGTGTGCAGTAGTTTTCTCTAATCTGTATTATTATCGTTGGTTTTTGTACAAAGTATCGGATTTGATCATCGAGGGGTTGTTTATGTCGATTAATTTTCTCAATATGATATGAGATACTCAAAAAACTAATTCCTACATTTTTTGATGATAAATGAACGTAAAGTTGTGCAGAAATATTTACGCTACTGAATTTTTGTTAGTAGCTCTAGATTATATGGAAAAAGTAAGAGGTCGATTTGGGTATTGATTCGTGATTCTCTGTTGATGGTTGATTATTGTCGTAAGTCCTGCCGACAGTCAAAAACAGATACTGCGTCAGGAGATTCATGTCAACAGATCAAGGTTTGTTAACTGTGTGAACGTTAACGTAGTGAATGATGTTTGTGATTGGTTGTATTACCTACCTTCAGTGAAACAATCCTGTTTAAACTAAAGAGGTCAGAAGTTGATTTCGAGTTCAACTGGACTGTAGGCTATAGACTTTTTGGATTTACTTGTCTGTGTGCATACACTGGACATAAGTGAACTTTTGAGAAGATTGAAAGATGAAATTCTGAAACAGTAATTTTATTAGTCTTCATATTTTACTTATTCAATAAGATGGACGGATTATCTTGACAACTTGTACAGAATTTCATCAGTTCAACATATCTCATTACTTGAGTATAAACAGAGAAGTAAAACTGACGATAGACGATAGGCGAAGGATAGTGGTAGTAGAAGTGGAACAAGAATTGAGGAAGATCTCCGATGACCATTCAAAAGGGAAAAGAAGTTCACTTCATTAAAGGGAAAGAAATCAATTTCTAAAGCATCAAATAACATCAAGAAACGCAAACAGTAGGATACAAATACAAATAAGCCATTCTTTACGATTCTATTAAAAAAGGTCTTGGTATGAGCCAAGTATAGCCACCTTCAATATGCCACTGTTTCAGCTGCATGTCTTGTTAAACCAACCAAGAAAAAACTAATTGAATAAATAAAGTAAACAAGTGGAAACGAAGTCGTATGAAATATTCTTTGTGTCCAAACAGGAAGATAATTCTTGCTAACTTGAATACGTTCTATAATTTCTACCTGAGGATAATAGTTCAAACTTTATTGCAAATGATATCCAGACTGGTATTAGAAAACTTCATTGTCATGAAAGAGGAAAGATAAATGGCCATTACGCTGTCTAAATCGATGAAGAATAATAGCATAGTAACGATAAACTGTATCACGATTATTAAACGTATCTTTTCCATTGTAGCTGATACTAATCCACATGATCTAACATCTTCCTTGAAAACATTCGCAGTAAAAACTGCTTCCTTTAAACATTCAGTAATATTTTTTCTTGTGTAGTACAATAATCATCATCTTTAAATTAGTCAGATTGCATTGATAATAATCACCGTAAATATATTCATTACAATATGAAAAACTTAATATACGTTTTACTACTTACTTCAAGATAATACTTATGATCAGCATCATTATACCGTTTAACTCCTTTCATTCCAAATGAATCACATATTGGTAATACGAAACCGCATATACACTGGACAACAGCAAACATGAAAAGTAAACTTGCTGTCATCGACTCGCTGAAAACGAAGAAATGATAAAGGATAGAAAAACAGAGATACTACAAATTTTTAGTTTAAGCAGATTAAAATAGATGCCTCAACAAATCTTGAGAGAAGTAGCTGAAATGAAAATCATTAATTTTAGTCCTCAGACTCATAGAAGGAAAACATAAACCTTTCTTGATATATATATTTTTGATCTATACTATTAAATTGTTGAATCGAACTTCGTTTGACAGTTTTTCGTTTCATACGATAAATAAAAAAACTTAGCAAGTCATATTCCTGTCAAAATTTTGGGCGCATAAAAGTTATAGTATAGTGGCTCTGTGGTCTAGTGGATTAAGCTCTGGAGTTTGAAGCGACCGGCCCGAGTTCGAGTCCCGGTGGGAACAGCACTCAGTGGGAGCCAGGTGCATCCAGCTGACGAGTCCCAAATGGAACGAAATGCGCATCTTGGATTCCACTGCTAGTCACTATCCATTGTTAAAATGAAAGTTACAGTTGAATATGATGTCATTTTGCAGAATAAAGCCATTCTAAAGCCAACAGGTCAGGTTTCATCTTTTGTTTAATCTGAGGCCCAGATAAAACATAAAGTCATGAGAAGAATCCACTGTTCATGAATAATAAACATTTTTATGGAGATAGAACTGTTGGTTCTGTCACACTTATTTCGAGGACAAACCAACATATCAGCTTACAATTAAAATACCAGTATTTAAACAGTTTTGCGACATTATATTATATTAGTTTTACTATGAATGTACAGCTTCATAAGTAACTGTCGTTTGCATAACCAGTGCAGAAATTCCTCTTCCTGGTCTAGTTCGGAGACTGCCAGTGTTCGAATTTGAGAGTGTGTATTAACTCTGCGTCTGAGGTTTGACTTTTGGTATGTTATTTTAAATCCATGACTTTCATCATGGTTTTATCACTAACTTAACTCCTTTCCAATATGGTTCCTATCAACTGAGATACTTACTGACCTTTTTCGAAAATCAACTTGGTTTAGGCATACTACTTTTTGTTTTTACCGGATTGAAATACTTGAATGTCACCTCATGACATACAGATGAACTGGTACCCAAGTTACTATAATAAACTTAGTAGTATTAGTAGTAGTTGAGCATAAATCAGAGCGCACATAGCAACCACATGAACTTTCTTGTTGTAGGCAATGCACCAAACCTATTTTGAAAGGGTTAATGATACCGCCTGATTACTCAAACCTTGACTGATGCAGCATAAGTATCAACAGTGGTACGAGGACTCATTGGATGACATTATCTGCCCAACTTTGATGTGTTCAGTACCATGAGCTATTAGGCTTTTCAATGATCAAATATAAAATCGCTTTATGGTTTTTCATGTACTTACAAATATGGGGAAATACTAAAAGTTAACCAGTTCCGGATAACGTCTTGCGATTTTCGTTTACCACTAATAAATAAATGTTGTCCAGTCAGTGAGTTCCGTTAAAAAATACTTGTATTCAAATGAGTGTAAGACGGTTTTCTGAAAATGGGATTGGAATCGGTCAAATAATCTATTTGAAAATTATGTAAAACTACCTTTTTCTAGGTTGGAATTCAAATTTTTGGTATGATCAACTCCCAGTCTTTTTTGATGGAATGCTAAATGCAACCCATAGAAAAAACTGTCCAGTTATTAGGTAAACTGAGAAAAAAATTACTCACTCCCATTTCCAAGTGTTTTATCTAACAATCTGAAAAGGGTGATAATGTGCAATGTTATTACGAATAAAGGAGTGTTGAAAACTTTTTCACTAAAAATACTCCTCTCAAAAAATGAAAAGTCATGTTAGGGAATTGCCTGATATCACGTTTGATGGAATACTGATATCATCACAATAAGACAACATGAATTAGGGCGAAATGTGTTCCAAATAATTCTCAATGATTAATTAGGTCTCTTGATCCCTGTTACTAAGTTTAGTTGAATACATTTATCAGATCATCTGTAGCGTTGAGGGTAAGGTGAATCGATCATAGCTAACTCTTGCTTTCAACACTAATGGTAAGGAATTTGCTTTTATAATTCTTCCAGATGAAAATAGACTTTGTTTTCAATAGAATTATGTTCAGCCTTCATCTTTATCCTATAAAAACATATGTTTTCTCAAACTTGCCGTTCTCCTTGAAATTAATCTTAACTATGTTCTTATTTTTGACGTTTAAAAGGTTCTGGTATTACTTTATGTAACCGCTCTAGTAAATAAAACTTTAAAAGCCAACCAAAACTTGTTGGAGTTATTTAGTGCATAGTTTTTTTAACAGTTTAACATGTCTGTCTAGGTAACAGGCATTTGGCAACCCAAGTACCTGAAGATAAAACCCCTTTTCCAGTTTTATACAGTTTGCTGTTATCATTTATTATTGTTAGTTGCTTAGCCTTTTTCACAGAGAATTTATTCCTAAGCTATGCGTATCTAAACATTACATTTAGACCCTCCTATCAAAGACTCTTAATGATGTAAAACTGATCAATGTATATTGTCATAGAGGATCTTCTAGCTAGATGAAAACGCTGCTAAGTTGACCAGTAGAATTCGACGAGAACTCAGTTCTGGATAACACAATAGTAATTACTGTCCAGTGATTAAACAATGCATGACAAAAGTAGGTCAGTTCAAAATCATAGTTTCTCGAGGATGTACAGCTTCAAAGCGAACTGACTGGAGCAAGATGTATTGAGTTTCTATTAAGTAGAAGCTGTCCAAGACATACATTAATGTTTGATATAAGGTTGACGTCTAAATCAAATTCCGTAGATAAGCGAACCAGTAGATTTAAAGCATAAGCTTGAGAAGTTTCATGTGTACTAATTGGTTGAAACCAGCATCTTCAATCAACATAGTCATGATCGTAAAATTCTATGCACTGAAACTCATTAATTCAAGATGAAAAGAATGACCAATTACTCAACTGCACATCATTTTCAGAAGATAAATAAATTTATATGTAAAATAGATCAGTTGTCAAGAACTTACCGTTTATTATTGGCTTTTATCGCTACAAAAGGTGCTGATATCCTCCTAAAAATTGAGTAGTCATAGTAAGAATGACAATATGTAAGATACAAATATTTAGATGTAGAACAAAATATTATATAACCGTGCTACCCAAACAACCAATATCTGTCGAAGCTTAACAATAATCTTCCCAATCTTGACATGAAAACAGCCTATGCAAAGTCAAAGAATTAAAATACCAATAAGGGCCTGAAGCAAGAAAGAATTAAAATTTACTCAACCATACTTCAACCAATTCTTGTACTCATTTTCAAAGGTAACTTATTCAGATAATATTATACAGTATTATTTTGTAGTCATTTTTACAAGCTTTCTGGAGGTCCGTTGATTACTGATTCACATGATCTCGTTGAAAACTAAAAGTAAGCTACACGTTAGTATTGATCATGGATTAAGATTATTTAGAGAATCACTGCAAATGATAAAGTGCTGGAAAGCTGTTTCGCCTTAGTACAGAAATCCTCAGCAGCGTGTAGTCATAACCCCGCCAAAAATCGAACCTAATGGTGTCAAGTTGCATGATGATAACTTTAGCATTCAGTCACTGGGTGGAAAACCAATAATTTAAATTCTCCTACTTCTGTCAGTTCACGATAAAGGTAATCCATGATAAAATCACTGACTTCTCACAGACCTCTGAAGGGAATCACTGTCAAATGAAATGGATTTTCCGAAGTCCTAACAAGAAGCCGAGACCTGTGAGACAAAGTAGGTCGGGTATGACGACAAACGCTAAACACTGGCATTACATGATGGTTACGTTATGTCATGGAAGTCGGAAAAAGAAGAACACTGAGTTTTGACCCAGTGACTGGACAGTGACGTGCTCACTATAAGACATAGCAGTCCTGTACATGACAGCAGGTAGGGCGGTGAAAGATCACTACCAAAATGTCACGTACCAGGGTGAAAAAGCTTTCCAGGAATCTCAGGTAATCAACAGTTCCCCCACTGATATCAGTTCATGATGAAAATCACCTTGAAATAAATGAATCCTCATAAACTTCCGACTTGAACTTGCATTCAGTTTACTACAAATTATGTGCTTTATTTTGTAACACAATTGAATTTGCTGTATGCTTTTAATCTGTGTTGACAACACTCTTTTCGTTCGTGTAAATTCTTTTATTTCAGCAAAGAGTCCTCTCCAATTTCATTTTCTAAGTTGTACAGTCTCAAATTTATACATCTTTCTAGCGTAAAGATTTGGAGCTAGGTATATAGGTCGTTCTATGTGACTGTTATCCAAAACGGTTCAAGAACACTATCCCGCATGATAACAAAGAGGTGACAATGGAGCGATAAGGAGTATTATAGATGAACACATCGTGAACACCAATTACCCTATCTTAAGAACCCTCCTCGTTCAACGTCAGCTATGAAGTGAAAAGAAATCTCTCAAAGGCTGTACGTCTTCATAATCTCTCCATAGCCGATGCTCTTGACATCCATCCATACAGAGAAACCTGAACTGTGTACGCAAAATGAGATGGTTCAACGCCTTCTCCTTTCACGGTCTTAGTTCTCAGCCTCCGCTTTACCCTTCTTTTTCTTCTTTTACTTTGACACAATTCGCTTCTTGAAGGATTTACTATTCACTCCCGTTGCTATACTCTGATTGATCACAATTCAGTTCCCAATTATGTCATCATCTTACGAAACTACTTGTCAACTTATTTTGATCAATATTCACTGCTCAATAGTCTTTGGTTTTTTTGATTTCAATTATATTTCATTTATTGACACTACTTGTGTCGCCATGCTTAAAAAACCGTCTTTAACTATCAAATCCTTACACTAGAAAAATGCATAAATTAGCAGTTGTACAACTTTGGAAATGAAATCGCCGAAAAGAGACTCTTCATTGAAACACTTGTTCTTCTTTCATATCCTAATGAGTATATTTCACATATTGAATTATTTTACCAGTAAATTAGAAGAAAGGAAGGAAGAAAGAACTTCTAGTAAAATGATTGCGAACATGTAGTTTTTTGTTCATTCCACAGGATGATTCATTGGCCTTAAAGTAGCACGGATGATAGCAACTACAACCAGAAAGTGAAATATTTCAGAAGTCCTGATCACTTCACAGTTGACGCTAAATATTTGCATCTATCAGTGTCAAGCATTTAGAAAAAAGCATATAACTTCATTTGCTGTCATATTAACTTTATTTCTAGAGTTTTTAGTATAAAAGGTCATGAAAGTATAGGAAACCTTAGGAAACCACACACTCATAATAGTTGACTACTGTACAGAATTGCTAATTTGAATTCTTTGTAAGGAACTGGGGAATTTGAAGATAGTCTCCATCGAGTACTGACAGTTATTGCGAAAAATTTGGAAACTGGAGTAGTGAGCAGTCGTTTTTCCTCTACAGGAACTTTTCAGCTATGCATCGATGAGTGTAAATAGCTCTGAAGGTGGAACCACCTGATGCCACAAAAAGCATTTTACAGTACGCTTCATATTGTCCTACATCTTTCAATCCATAGTACAATACTTTTGTCATTCAATATCATCAACCGATTTATGGTTTCAACTTTGACTTCATTGTATTCACAAGCTTTGGTTTTTCACTCCAACTTTACAAAGCATATTGAAATAAATTTGTTAGCGAGTACAGGATAATTTTTCGCCTGAGTAGTTTGAAGAAGTTGATTGACACAAAGATAAAGTTATTCATAATAGTGGATTTTGGATTTGATTAGTGAATTATGTTGTTCATAATTCAGATTATTATGTTCTACGAAACTTAAAAAGTACAAGACAAATACTCTCTTTCGATAAACCATTGCGCGAGATTTATACTGGATCACCGATTTAATCATGTTCTTGGATGATGTAAGAAAATATAAAGATGCCTGAAATAAGAAAGTATGCCTAATTAGTCAATTCTTGAATTATTTGTCAGTTATGAATATTGCATTGTCTACTCATAAGGAGGACCAATCTTCTTTAGAATGAATTAGGTTTTCGTTGTCTTCTGTACGTCAGAAATCAATAGCAGGGCTGTAAAAGCATATAATTTTTCTTTTTCTCTAGAGAAAGACGGTGATAGATTAGGAGTATTAGAAAGTAGAGAATTTAAAAGCCACCTTGATGACCAAAATTATGTTGGCTAATAGATATTCCACTCATGTTATTCAAGCTATGTGGAAAGAAATAACAAATTAAATATCCAATCACTTCAAAGGGCATCTTAGGAACCACTGAATTGATGAATAGGATTTCTTTCCGTCATGTAGAAAGGTAGATTTTTCCGAATATAGTGTATTCTGGTTGGTTAATTCATTTGTTGCCAAGGTGACCTTCGAAGTTCGCCTTAGTGTTATATTTTTGTCCATAAATATAATTTTTCCGAAATTAAATTAGTCATACCTTTGTGGTTATGCTTCATAAACTATTCAGATGTAGTAGCTATGCTGTCATTTAAAGTCATCCTTAAGTAAACGTACCAGCCAGAGGTGTTCGATTTCCTATTCTACTGTGTGAGTGTAACGTAGGTAGTCTCACACGAGTTGCGCAAATAAAATAATGGCAAATACGCAAGTATCTACTGTTTCCCGAAAATTACAGTGAAACCTGTTTAGCAAATATCTAGATTTTGTGAGCCTTTATTCTCTGAGATGTAGACCCTACATTAACACAGCTGATTGAGTAAACTATGCAAATAGCGCAATATTCTCTACTTAAATTGGTCTATCTTCCAGTTTTATCTAAAACCATTTGGTTTTGTTGGTAAAATCTAATCACCAGGATACCCTTCATGATCTGGAGTGTGTGCTTGTTGGCAGTCATCAGCAAGACTTATCTGTAACCACGAGGAAACTGTTGTTCTCATCGTTATTTGATCTGACATCAATCAGGGCTATAGTCAAACATCTTACCATAAGATTACTCATCTCCATGTAAGATGCGTTGAAACGCGTGGAAATCTGGATCCAATGTCTCCTGTTAATTAATTCCCAACATCTGCCACTGAAATACAGTACACTGTAATGTTGCATCACTTAGCTGAGTAACCACATCACAAATACGATTCACAGGCTTCGACCAGCGCTGAGCATTAAAGACTAGACAGCTACATTGGTTAGTAACTCCAGACAACATTGTGTCAATCAGTATTTACCTATCTTCTATCCTCCAGTTACGAGTGGAGTGCATTCGCTTCCGTGTTTCAGTAATTCAATAATATCGTATAACGCCTAGCACACAGTTATTCACAATACTTGAATAAGCGTTTTGTCTATCGAATAAGTTAACTTTTTCCTTTGACAACTAGATTTTCACACTGTGATTTTTAGAAGACAGAGTTTGATACTAATCCTAATATTCTGCTCGATTCATTCAAAAGTGCTCATCCAGAAATCAAGTTGATATGTGAAACAGATAAAGACAAATGTCTGACATTTATACACGTTTCGCTATCAATACGAATGGATGGTAGTGTCAGAAGTAGTATTTATCGTAAGAAATCTAGGGTTGGTCAGTATTCACATTTCCGATCATTTGTCCCTCTAACGTACAAAAAGGAATTAATCTGTAAACTAAGATTTCAAGCCGGTAGGATTTGCACAGCTGATACTTTGAATGATGAATTAAGAGTAATAGAGAAGTCCTTATATGAGAACAGCTATCCTGAAAAGTTTGTAAAGACTGTAACAATGAAAACAGCTGGAGAAAAGCGACTTCAAATACTGCCGAAGAAACGATTGTATCTAACTTTAGCGTTCAGCTGCAAAAACATTGACACTGAAACTCAAAAATCTGATACAAAAACCATCTTCGCCGCCACAATATGTTTGAAATTTACTTCTCCCTGTATGATGCCATTACAGTTGAAAAATAAGCTGCCAAATCTGGCCACATCTATATGTATTTATAAATTTAACTGCACAAGTAGAGATAGTTACGTAGGTAGAACGACTCGGCAGGTCCACCATCGCTTCATTGACCACTGCCTAGCGAGGTTAGGCAAAGGAATGGTGAAATCCATCATAAGCTCAATACTCGGCTATCTAGTAGATACTGAGCATAAGATTGACAAAACCTCACCATTTACTACTATTTACACAGTTTCATCACAATATTCTAAGTTTATGCACCTCCGACTGCTAAGCATAGCAGAAGCCATATCATTTAAAATTTTAAAACTTAATTTATACATTCGGAAAGACATTTGTTTGTTCCCTTTTCCTCTTATGGTCTTCAACTTCAATCCAGATACAATTACAGTAATTTTCTTCTCGGTCACCTGGATAAATGTAAATATTATCTCTGTTTATACTCTTACCATGATCATTTTATTTTTCGCCCTTAGTTTCATGACTGATTAAGAATTTTATCATGTAATCGCTATGAGACATTGATTTTATTTCCCGCTATCCCGGTACACGCACAATTCACTCATACACCTACAAGGATTGACTACTGAGTATATATGATCTTTTCGAGAATTTGTTGTTTTATTATCACCTTTACTATTATCTCCTTCTAATTGATATACCCGAATTAATCTAATCATGTTGGTATCAAATGTGGACTCTACTGAATAATTTGTAAATGTAAACCCTAATGAGAAGTGACCGAAAATGTGTATTCCCTTCAAACTGTTTCTTCGTTTAAAGCTTATTTTTATTCTGTTAACGACCAAAGGAAAGTTGAATTTTGAGAGAGTTGTAGGGATTTCGAAATATTTTAGGTTGTTATTCATCGTAGACTGATATCAGTTGGAGGAACAAGTTAAAACTGGGAGCACTGAACAGCTGTTTCGTCCTAGTCGGTACACACTGCTGAGGAGTCCCATACTAGGACGAAACAACTGTTCAGTACTCTCAGGTTTCTTTTGTTCCTCCAACTAATATCAGTCTACGATGAATAACAACTCGAAATATTTCCAAATCCCCACAAATCCCTCAAAATTCAATTGAACTGGTGCTCATTGGTGACTAGCTTCGAGAGGTATTCCCGAAGTTCAAATGAGAAGTCGTTACAATTGGAGGCAAAGACCGATGGTCGTGAGGACACTCACCCAACGATAACATTGGGTGGCCGTTGCACTATATCTTGAGCTAGCAGAAGTTGTAAATATGGAGCATTGGATTCTGGACCAATGGCTAGCTCAGTGGTAACATGCTGGCCAGGGAACCTGAATTTCTCGGGTTCGATCCCTGTTGGTGTGGGGTTGTGGGTGCTGACTTCTGAGGAGTCCCATAGTTGGACGAAGCGGCTGTCCAGTACTCCCAGGTTTCCAATGTTCTTCCAACTGATATCAGTCTATGATGAATAACAACTTCATAGGAAAAGTTGTCTGGTTGTAATAAATAAAGGAAGGAAAATATCTTCATTAGCTTTTAAAGCAAGTCATCACTTCAGAATAAAGAAACTTGTAGCTAGGAGGCAAAAGTAGCTTCTAAATATATTTTTGAAACTGATTGCACAATTCTGTATCAATTTTTTATACACTTTATTTTCAAACCATTATTATGTTAGCGTAGATCAATTTCAGTAATATCACCAAGTCATAACTAGACCACACCCAATCACGCTCATACAAAGATTGCATATTAATCGTTTGAAATCATGCCAAAACAGATAGCACAGGATTTTTTTTAAATTTATCCTCTTCGTATACACTAGATAAAAGTGTTGAAATTAAAAAACAATAAAGGAATCTATCTGTCAGATTTTATATGGTATTATTGTAGTCATCGATTGATTGAGGAAACGTGCAGCTTGATGTCTCCTTGAGCGTTTGTACACTGGTTGCATTGATTGAAACTGATGATGCACTACAGGAATGAAGTTTGAATCGATAATCCACTAGTTGATCAACAGCTTAACACTTATGAGTTCTGAATGTATAAAGCGAGTGGCAACCGAGTGTGAAGAGGGCAAAAATTGTGATATGAAAGTTTTGAGACATACTCATGTAGTAGCGCTAAAAACATAGATGAAGAATATCTTTCTAATGTAACATATTCACTCATTACAACCTTTTAGGTTATTGCTTTAGGGAATATGAGACTGTAGTTAAACTGTTGGCGGCGTGACTTAGTCTAAGTAAGAAAACAAATCAGTCACAAGTTGCTAACACTGTATGTTTTCCATTTTTTTAATGATAGTTGAATTTAATGCAGTTACAACAGATTTTCTGGCTATCATCTGATATTCCGTTTTATTCCGCTTCAACTATTCTACTCAGTCTACTGAAGCTTGTAAATGCAAAGAATTGTAATTATAGGTGACTATCGTCCTCATCATATAGGTCAAAGTGTACTGCCTTAAGTCATACCAATGAGCACACGTACAACATTATAGTATTCTCAGGTTCATTTACGCCTATTCTTAACTTGAAATAGTTCCTTACTCAAATTTATCAACTTTCATCCTCAATATACTTAAAGTTGATGTCGGTAGGCGACGATTTTACATTTGCTTGCCACAGAGCAACGATAGCCACTTCTTGTACAACAGGTGATAGTTATTACTTTGTTAATAAGTAGTAATAACTGTCACCCGTTGTACAAGAAGCGCCTATCGTTCCTATATGGCATAGTGGATAACGCCTTCTCGTTTGGAGAGATGGGTACGAGGTTCGAGTCTCAGTGGCAAAAACATCACTGTGGTGCAGGTAGGTCCACCTGACGAGTCTCAAATAGGACGAAACACGCATCCTGGATTCTTCTACTGGCCACAATCAACCAAATTATCATAAATAACATTCAGGCAATATTGAGGCATCTGCATAGGAGCCCATATGCCAACTGAGGTCGAACAATTCGATCCAATAAAAGAACGGAGAATAACAAGTATGTCAATAAATGGATATATATATATATATATATATATATATATATATATATGTCCGAAATTCATTTCATTTCTTTTAAGCCGCAAAGATAAATCATAATCCGTCGCTAATCAGTGAACGTTTCCAGGTTCTAATGAAAATCCATCAGCTGGGAGGCTAAAGAAGTCAGGAGTGATTATCGATATCTAAGGCTGACAGTGAATGATAATTTTGGGATGTGGCATCATAACGTTAAAGTATGATAAGTGTACTGCTGGACATAAATTTACTAAAGTTTCTAATTCATAAGGTCAAAGATGAGCTGTCCTGAAGATTAAAAAACTACAGTGAAGGGGTTATTCAGTGATCATGGCCTACAATCAACTTAAATGTAGAAATATTAACCTTATTGCCATTATGCATAAAAAGCATCGAAAAATGTCAAAGGATAACAAAACTTTTTTTTACCTTTGTTTAGCCATATCTTTTTCCCATAATTTCCTCATTTTCATAAATCTCCATGATTTACGCATTTTAGCAAATCGTTTACGATTATTTCTTCTATGAGGATTCGTCTTCGATTCATGCTTTTCTCCTGGTTGATATGAATTATTTTGATCTGTATCTGAATTATCCGTTGAATAACCGGAATACGCCATTGTTAATATTCTTTATTAAACAACGTGTTGATTTATACTGCTAGATTAATTCGAGACCATTCAATGTCCAGCCATCGTAGTAATTCCTTGTTTTCTCAAAGAAAAATGTTTGAAATTATAATTCTTGTTTTACATTCAGAAAAAAATTGAAATTGTATTTCATGTCAAGCTGTAGTAATCGCGTCACTTAGCATTACTGATAAAGTTATTTATATAAATAAGAAATAGGTTACTTCTGACTTCATTATTATCCTGTAATGCATATAAACAAACTGTGATCTGATGATTTGATGTGAATCGATCAAGGTGCACATGTGCGTGTATTTATGCCTGCGTGCAGAATACAGATGGTTTTCAATTTAAGCCTAACATCCTTCATTTTGATTAATGAATTTACTAACTAACCAACTAACTAACAGTTGGTTAACTACGACAATGATGATTGTTTGTTAAATTGTACTGTACTTTTTATAATATTTGACATGATGCCATAAATTTAACTAAACCAATAAGTAAATAAACAAATAATTGAATTCATTGAGTTGTAAAAGTGACAACAATGTATAAATAAACGGATTCACTTTTATTCATATCACTAATAATGTTTCCAATTGTTTATTTAAAGTTAAAGTGGTTAGTTCAATTTCCAATTTATAGAAGTAATCAATCATTGCCTAGTGTTCTACCTATCTAGTGTCTTTATGTGTATACTGTCAACTGTAATTCCATGAGTTTAGTGAAACTTTTCTGAAATTTCATGCGGCATGATATTGATAAAGTAAAGTGAAGTATTTGACACTGAATTGTGAGTAACAGGTTTCATGGATGCAATAATTACCACAACAAGCAATATATTAAGCAGAATATCTATTTTAAATATAACCAATGAATAATGAAAGTGCTTATAACTGCAAAGGAATTTGCTTATTAATGACACAATCCTCCGTCGATCGGAACATAACTATCACTGAAGAAGTAACAATTGGTTCGTATAGAACTTCAACCAGAACTATACAAGAAATATGAAACTATGGTTCTACGACTTACAGAAGCATTATCATGGTAAAAGGCAATAACGGAAAGTTCCTAAGGTTAGAAGCTTTAAACACTGTATGTGTTATTTTTTGTAAGATTCATGTATCAATCGATATGCAGAAACAAACTAGTGTTCAGTCGACCTAACAACAAAAGAAGTTGATATTTAAAGTGGATCTGAGAGAACAAGTGAATACGGATGACCTCATAGAGTACTTGCAGTAGAAAGGTCTGTTAACACTAATGTACAAAAACTGCCTAGTTTATATATACATAATGCAAGTGTGACTACCTGAGATAGCCGTTGTTTGGTAGGCTAGTATTGTTGATACTGGATGATGACTGAGAGTGAATTAAAGTATGGGTCATTGGTTCGAATCTTGTAGCAACCCATACTTTCATTTCGCCCTCAATCACTACTGAGTGTCAATATGTATAATAAACGTATTTGTATACAGTATAACCCTTTTTAGTTGTCTTCTAACAAAGGTGTGGTTAAGAAACGAAAAAGGATGGGAACTGCAGTAAATTGATCGCCTATTGTAGAGCTAGGCATCTGAAATCATGAATTAGCAAGGCTTCATTGTTGTGCGGATACTGAAAGTAAGTATATTTCAATGCTTTACAACCATTTGTTAGCTGTAGAGAAGTAGATAGCTAAGTAAAAGTAGTTTTGTTTACGTTTAGTAACAAGGCTAAAATGCTCATATTATTTAAGAACATTTATAGCTTAGTTAATTCCGATGCAGTTACAGTAAATCGGTGCTGTGTTACGCTGTCGATATTGGAACTCGTTAACAATCCAAGAATATTGTTGCAGCTGCAGAAGTGCATGAAATGAATTTTTATATTTTTCTTCAGTTTATCAAGTTGGTATGTCAGTGGTAGACCTGCGATCAATCTTTAGTGCTTTCGGTAAAACATATTTTACTTCAAATTACGTTATGTACTAACTGTTCTGTTATCATTTCCATCGTCATCAGTAATGAATGTTTCTACTTTGGTGTGGTAATCGACTATTTGCTCTAGTATACGCATATATGCTAATATCATATTCGTTCTTCAACCACTTTACATATAGTGTGACTGACTGAACCTGCAACCCCAAAGAAACAGTCACTGGGAGTGTGTTCATTTTCCTCTTCTAGATGAAAAAATTCATAAACCGCTTATCACTTTAATACTTTAGTTACACAATATACAGATTTTACTGCTATCATTATTTAATTTTTGACACCATGACTGGTACCCGTACTTAACCTTATATAAAGTTTATCTCTTCCTGTCCGTGT